CGCAAAAACTTTCGTCAAATTTGAGCGGTTTTTGTTGAATAACTTTACACACGTGGCATATATTTATAACCAAATGAGACTTATAATCGTAGGTTGAAAAGATCTATCAGTGTACCAAATTGGAAAAAAAATCTATAAAAGTTAAGTATGTTTTTCTATCGAATAAATTTTCTTTACTTTTGGTTTAAAAAAAAAAAAAAAAAGAAGGGAGGAAGAAACTCAATCAAAATTGGAGATTTTATATCTCAGGTGTTTCTTAACAGATTGCCTTAAAATTTGGTACGGGAAGTAAGAATCCAGTAGAGCACATCCACTGAAAATATGTGCTAGTTTGGGTTAACACAGTCCGAGATAGAGAAGGTGGAAAATTGTTATACTATCACTCCTGTTAATAACACACAGTGTGTCCTGCATCAGTTTGTTTTAGCCGCACGACACACTATCGTGTGTCTTGATCTCCTAAATTTATAGCTTCCACCATCAGCGTTTCAAGTTGTATTTTTATCTTACCACTCGGTATTAGGGCTGGTGTTGCTCTTTATCTGTTTTCCTCAACTACTCTTTCCTGACGTTTCTTGTCAAGCAGATCTCTTCTCACGATACCCAAGTATGACAATTTCTTCACAATGATATTTTCCAACAACTATTGATTGGTTTTGCTCTTCTGTAGCGCCTAAATTCAAAATTGTCTATATTTTATTCATACTCTTTTTTTTTTTGTTATTGTTAGCAATATATTAACCTCTACAGAACATTCTCTCTTGTTGTTAGTCTAACAACCTCCGATCTTTACACCCAGTCATCATCTTGGCCATACTTTTTATCATTGTTAGCAATATATTAACTTCTATAGAATAACCTCCCTTGTTGTTAGTTTGATAACCTCCGCTCTTTCTACACAGTTATCATCTTGGCCATACTCTTTCTTTCCATTGTTAACCAGCAACTACTAGAAATGCATAACAACGAACCTGCATTTAAAATATGTTAAATCAATGACTATTTCCAAAGGCATGAATGCAAAACTGTTGCCCTAGTAATATAAAAAGGGTGTTGATAACAAAATGTACCAATTTATAAATGCTGACACATTTTAACACGTAATTATATGTAGTATGTGAAAATTAGTTTAAACTATGACGCACCAGGGGTCAGCCACTGTTACAATTGTTTTTCTTGAGTAAGATTTAATAGAAGTAAATGTATGGACTAGCTGCTTGCAAAACAAAACGCTAAAAGTATTTTTCCTTTTGTGGAAAGAGGTTCCTGAATACAGGAGAAACATTGTCGTAGTTTCATGTATTTATTCAAGGATATCCCATGTTTCTATTATTAATAAAGGAGAAACATTGTCGTAGTTTCATGTATTTATTCAAGGATATCCCACGTTTCTATTATTAATGCAAAGAATGTGGTGACGCATGCGCTGTTTTCTACAGTTGTGTTACAGCAGTAACGTAAGCTGAGTAATATTTTCATAATAGCTGTCACACATGCTTACATTCAAGCGTTCACAGGCTTCTATTATATTGGGTAAAGTCTGACGTCACGCAATGAGTAACACAGTTTACAGAATCATGTTTATCTATATAGTGTTATTTTGCACAAATATTTCGTTTATGTTAAAAATTAATGCACTATTGCGAGCTATAATTCAGCTTTTAAAGTTCGACTAAAATACTGTTAGTATTTGTTGTAACAACAATGGTGAAACAACAACAACAACAGTTATCAATACATTTCTGATGCAGCGGAGAGGCAGATCTAACTTTGTTTCCCCTTCTTGAAGAAAATCTCCAAGATTTGTTTTTTCCTATTACACAAAATATTAATTTTTACAGAAAAGTATTTTATTGATAATCTGTTCCAGCTTTCATTCTAGGGTAATTTAATGCAAATGTATTCAATGTTATTATAGTAAATAAATGCCCCCTCTTCTGAAGCGTTGAGCCTAGATAATTTGATATCTAATTTAACAACAGTTAAAATAGGAAATGAATAACGAATTAAATGTTCACTAAAGGAAAAATCAACATTTCTCCCCAATTGATTTCGATGTCTTCAGTTAGAAACCTGACGGTAGAAGGTGATATTAATAGCATGGCAATGTGGTGACACTGGGATGTTAGGTGTATATAGAAGCTTATTAATGGGTGGCTTTTGTTACTTAATAAATCATGCTTCTTTACTTTTTCTGTTACTTTCATCGCTTTCTCTGTGAATGATATTTCTATCTGAGGTATTTAAACTGTGTTTAGTTAATTTTACATGTTGGAAAACATGAACATAAAAGGAGGGAAGAAGATTTTCCCTTAGTCTAACATTAGTTTCTCTGCCAAATTCCCTTAAAAATCTATGCAGTATTTGCAATAAGTATCCAGAACAAGGGTGATTATGTTTTGAATATTTATTTGAGTGAAGTGTGGAAAACGTCTGACCTAGTTTAAACATAAAACGGACAGCTTTGAAAAAAATCATATTTTTTAGTAAGTTTTAGAAACATAACGTTTATAAAGAAGGGAACAACAAAATGGCTTACCTTAGCTTAAACGATGTTTGTTTTGTGAACTATTATGTAGACAATTATTCATTATTTTGTCCATTAAACATCCTATACGTCATCGCATGTCTTTGTAGCTATTAATATATATTGCCTTCTAGTGTTAGGTGTATGTTTTAGAATTATCGTACAAAGCTACGTAAGGGCACATATCCATCCCTAATATTGAACTAATTGACTAGAGGGAAGGCTATTAATAACTCCTGATGTAATTTTCCCACGGCTCGAAAATGCGGAGCAAGTTTTTCCTTCTTTTTGCGACAACGGGAAGCGAATCATGATCCCTTATTATTTTAAACCGTTAACTATATATATATATATATATATACCGTAACTACAGCTGTATCTTCCCAATAAATGTATTTATTGTGACTAACACCCCAACATCCTGTCCATATAGTTAACAGTCCCTAAAAAAATTTGGCAACCATAGTTTACCAGATGCCTTTTTTGTACCCGACAAACCACACATTACGGACACTTACGCTATTAACATACTTCATAGAATTGTCAACCGAACAGATTTCTTTAGTGGTCTATTGACTTATTTCTTTTGAACTTTTATCAGTGACTAAGAAAACAAAACAAAAAACCCCCAAAAACACGTTTTTAAACAGTAATAGAAAACGAATAACAATTACGACAAAATAACAAATTTTTGATGTGGTGTAAGATATTGTTTGTACACCTAGTTTTCGATGCAACTTTTTTTATATATATATAAACTAGCTGGCTACTTTATTAGGACCTTTTAGATCAGGGACTGACCTGAATAGCAGATGCAGGTTAGGTTGATCACATGATGTGTCACGTTATCCCTGGAGTACTATAAATGACTGGGACAAGCATATTTGCAGTCAGTCTAACAGATATGGAGAAAGGAAAGACATTGCAGTGTTCAAAGGAGGCATGATATTGGACGCAAGTCTAGCAGGTACCATAGTTGCCAAGACAGTTTCGTTTGTAAGTTGCTTCAAGAAATCGGTCGTATAGTTTATCAACAATGGCGAAAGGTAAATAAAATGTCTGCTGCGAGAGGGAATTGTAACCGAAAATAGGTAGTGACAGAAAGAAGAAAAATGAAGTTATACATGATGGTAAAATATATCCGTCATCAAACAACAGACTGAAAGACATTCAGTGCAGAGCAATCACAATTTACGCCCATCTCTAGCCGTACCTTCCGAAGAACGTTGTAATGCGTGAACTACGGCATTGGGGAACCAATGTGTAAACCAATGATCTCGATTACAAACAGGCAAAACACATTTAGTTAGCATAAGGAACACGGGCATTGGATTAATGAGGACTGGTGAAAAGTGATGTGGTCCGAGGATTCACGCTATATTCGTTCTTG